TTATTCTCTGTTGAAATCTTATGACAATCCAAATTATCTTAGAAAAGATACAGCTCCTGAAACGGGTTCTTTCAGGGTTTTCCCTTCGATATCTGTGAATAAGGGGGTGGGAATTTAGAACTGCCTGTGGACATGAGAGGGTTATTTTTCTAAAGTCTAGGGAGTGGGGAATGGGGTCACATAGGGATAAGATTATTGGTTGATGTGATTAGTACCCGCATGATTCAGGTACTCAGCAGACCGCAGCCTCTAAAAAGTCCAAGAGAGTATTTGATGTTGTATGGCTACTTGCCAGGAATTGGACTCGACCAGTCTACCGTGGAGAAGCTTGTCCTCTTGTGGGTATTTTAGCCAATACTAGCTTCAAGGAGAGAGGTGAGGATAGGGTGCTCACTCCAATTCTTCTGGGGGCCCAGCTTTAATACCCAGGGGCAGGAGCAGAAGTAGTTACATCCCCCTCTCCTATGAAGAGAAAGTGGAGGACCAGTGAACTTTTACTTCCTCATTTGCCATCTTGCTCTCCTGCATCTTTTGTGAATACAATTCTCCTCCCACCCCATTCTCTTTATGAGTGTTAATTCTTAAAGTGGACAGTTGCAAAAAAACGTGTAATTGGATCATCTACTCCATGCCAATGTCTTTTTAAACAAAGTTGGTACTTAGGCCTCTGTGTATTTTTTGGAGACTTTTCTTCAAAGAGGGCACAGCTCTGAGAGAAAAAGGCATGCTTTAGCCAAGAGTATATACTTTGGTGTGATCTGACAAGATGCATTTGTTATTCTGATTCTTGAAATAAAAACCCGACATATTGTCTTTTCTGAATTTGCATAGAAACAAAATTACAGTGAACTAAACTATACCTCTGGAAGCAGGAATTTCCTCTGGAGTTTCTAGAAAACTTCAAACTAATTTTTTACTATTTCAAATATTCTATTTCTGAAAGATGTAGAAGGTGTTTCATTATGTGAAAATACTGTGACTGTTTCCTATTTTGATAACTTATTTTCCAAATTACTCTACTTGAGGAGTTTATTTAGCTTTTGAATTACAATTATGAAAACATCCCCAGTTCCAAAATCAGTGTGGCTTGAATCAGTGAAGCTTTGCCTTATAGTTAATGCCTGAGGGCAGAAGTGACTTGAGAGCACAAAACTCAGGATCTGCACAGAGAAAGGAGGTGTTGCTGGGAAATCCCCTCACCCATTAATTTGGCTGACAGTGATGTGGCCCCTCCAGCTGTGTTGCTTTCAGGAGTGAGGTCCATAAAGGGGATGGCCCCAGGCCCCTCACTGTGAACCTCCAGTGTAGACCTCCAGTGTTCTTTAATGATATATAATTGGACCAGACCAGACCATGGGGCTTGAATAGCCTTTCTCTGTGGTCTGCAAGTTTGAAAGTGCTCAGTACCTACTGTCTTTCTTTAGGATATTGATGGACAGTCCCAGTGCTCAGATTTTATGCTTATTAGTGATACTTTTCATGAGTTTCCAGGGCTAAAGTGACTTTTTCACACTGTTTAATGATTTTCAGTTTAACTACATTTCTGAGTGGGATGTTGTAAAGATTAATTAGCCAATGTTCATAAAGTGCTTTCAAGCTGAAAAGTGCTGCACAAGGGTGTACAGATTCATTATCTTCTTAGTCATTAAGGCTTTTTAGATCTTTTGGCATTCAGAAACTAGATGGTGAAGGCCAAATTAGTATTTTTTCTTGGAGGAGGGGGATTTCAGAAAGAGCAGAATAGAACAGTATATCTTTTTCTAAAAAAGACATCTTTGACACTGGAATGGAAAAAAGATATAAAAATATTTTTATTTTTCATTATCTCCTATTTCCATAATGCTTCAGCTTCTTCTTACTCCCTTCTTTCAAAATGTATTTGACCACTTCTCCTGCACATTTATTTAGAAATTCTATAGATTGTCATATAGTTATGCATAATGGAGCTGAGTGTGGCCCCAGAGTGTTGAATTGTTGTGCCAGTGAATGACACAGTATAGATCATTCCCTTGGTAAGTAAAGACCCCCTCTCAGTTTGCAGTGTGTCATGAAGGTATGTATCATCTCCATCAATAGTAATCTTCAGTTTTATGTGTGTGTATATATATATATATTTCACATGTTCCTTTAGTCATTTTCTTCTTCCTACTTGCTTGACCTATAAACCACCTTATATAATACTTGGCCCCAGAAGGCAACTAAATACAGGAAGGAAGGAAGGAAAGAAGGAAGGAAGGAAGGAAAGAAGGAAGGAAGGAACGGAGGAAGGAAGGGAGGGAGGAAGGAAAGAAAGGAGGGAGGGAGAGAGGGAGGAAGGAAGGAAGAAGTGGAAAGTTAACCATATCTTCTCTCTTCCACCTCCATCATAGTCACTGTCTCCACGGTAGAAAAGAAACCCCAGAAAACTGCAAGGAAGGTGCTCTGTGTGTGTGTAAGTGATGTTGAAAGTGGTCCCATTCTGGCTAAAGGCAGGGAAATTCTGGCAGTATATCTGGCAGCTTTAGGTCAACAGCTTTATACGACTTATCAATACTTCCTAAGGCATGAGGGGTACTGGGAGGAAGAGCAGGTGACAGAAATAACATCTAGTTCTAGAAGGCAACATGTTGTAAGGAATGATCACCAGTTGTAGAATTAGATGACCTGAGTTCCTTTGTAGGTTTGAGCAAGTTTCCTGGGTTTCCTGATCTCTAAAATGTACATAATGTTCCTCCATGAGGAGGTGATGTGAGATTCAAATGAAGAAATGAAGTGAGAGTGTCTGGCACATGGCAGGTCCTCATTAAATATTAGTTTATTTTGAATCAGAGTCAGTGAAGGAATTTATCCTGAAAATATCTGTAAAAATAAATTCATTGATTTTTTTTAAACCTCTATTCAAAACCTTAATTCTCCCTTCTTTAAAAGTGGGGTCTCAGCTATCCCTCACACCTATCAGAATGGCTGTCATCAAAAAGCCCACAAATAACAAATGTTGACAAAGATGTAGAGAAAAGGGAACCTTTGTACACTGTTGGTGGGAACATAAATTGATGCAGCCACTGTGGAAAACAGTATGGCGGTTTCTCAAAAAGCTAAAAATAGAACTACCATATGACTCAGCAATCCCACTCCTGGATTGATATCTGAAAAAAGCAAAAACACTAATTCGAAAAGATACATGCACCCCAATGTTCATAGCAGCATTATTTACAATAGCCAATATATGGAAGCAACCTAAGTGTCCATCAACAGAGGAATGGATAAAGAAGATGTGGGGTGTGTGTGTGTATGTGTGTATACACACACATACACACACACACACACACACACAATGGAATACTACCCAGTCATAAAAAAAAGAAATGAAATTTTGCCATTTGCAGCAACATGGATGGACTTGGAGGGCATTATGCTAAGTGAAATAAGTCAGGCAGAGACAGACAAATACTGTATGTTATCACTTACATGTGGAATCTAAAAAATAAAACAAACTAGTGAATATACCAAAAAAGAAGCAGACTCACAGATATAGAGAACAAGTTAGTGGTTACCAGTGGGGAGGGAGACAAGATAGGGGTAGGGGATTAAGAGGAACAAAGTATTATGTATAAAATAAGCTACAAGGATATATTGTACTACACAGGGAATATGGCCAAAATTTTATAATAACTATGAGTGGAACATAACCTTTAAAAATTGTGAATCACTATGTTGTACAACTGAAACATATAATATTCTACATCAACTATATCTCGGTAAAAAGTGGGGTCTCAGCATTCACTTCTACAAAATTCTGAATTACTTTTAGGGATACTCTGTCAGAGTTGAGTATGCCCAGGTAGCCAAAGCAAGATTTTAATAGGAAAGAAATGATAGGGATTGTGAAGTGCCAATCATCTTTTGTTCACCTCCAGCCCCTCTACAAAAGCACCTCCCACTCCAGGTAATTCTGTTCTGGGTATCCCAGGGGTGTCTCACGCTTGCTCCTGGGTGGATCTGCCTCTGCTGTTTTCATCCCTCACCCATGGTGAGCACTACACTGCCCTCTCCTGGGCATGGAAGGAACTGCTCGGTTTTGCTGCTGCCTCTTGACCTGGCATCATGGTGCGTGTGTGAAAGAGAGACAGAGAGAGAAACTGACTGTCATATAAAACATGCCCACATGCCCTTTTCCCTCTACTTTAGAAAATCCCAAAGCATTGTCTCTTTTCACAGTGTCCTACGTTGTGAAGAGTTTACGGAAAGAATTCTTTCGGTTTTTACTTGAGACATTCTCTCTCTGTCTCTCTGGAATCAGAGATTCTGGAGATGAATTCGAGTGAGAGTGCCAGGAATTACTGAGAATTGCTAGACCTAGCTCCCCTGTGATAAGAAAATCTTTGTTAGGGTCAGGCCCATCGCACGTGGCTGTTTCTTCCCGTAGGAGGAGTGCTCTCTTAGAGGGTACCCAGCCTTTCCTGGGTAGTTATAGCAACAGAGCAGTGGGTTCAATTTGAACCCTTCTGCATGAGGCTCCTAGGCCCTCTGGCACCTAAGTTCCTACTGGGCCCATCCTAACAGGGATGCTTAAGTCTGTAGCTGACAGAGTTCTAGCATCCAGCTGAGATCCTTGCTATGGATACATATGTACAAAGAAATTGGCTTATATCCTGCCTACCTCCAAGTGTGAGTATGGGCACTGCCTTAAATTCTAAATATATCAGACTTCATTTACTCATTTTTCATTGATGAAGGAAGGAATACAAAGATGATTTAGATACAGTTCCTGTATCATAGCCATCACAGTCTGTTGCTTCACTTTATATCTTCATAGCTGTGACTGTTCCTAGTTAAAGCTTGACTGTCCCTAGTTAACTCTGAAAAATATTCCTTCTGAAGTTAAGATACTAGTATCAACAACACCATACTCAATCTCTGTGGTTGAAAAGATAGTATTGAAATCAGGCACATGAAGGAAATGTGGAATTTAGTTCCATATTTTTATGTTTTAATGTTCATAACACTCTCTTTGCCCCCAGGTTATGCAGATGTATCTTCCGTTTTGCGGAATTGCCATATCTAATGCTCAGCTATTTGCTGCCTCAAGGAAAGAATATGAAAGAAGCAGGGTGAGTAGAAAGAAACATTGCTGACAACCCTCAAAGCTCTCTTTCAAGTGTCTGTGAGTCATTATGTCTTTTAAAAACAGCGGATGATCTTTGAATAGTCCAGGAATCCTTTTTATTTGTATAATCCTTCAAGTCTATGGTTGAAGATCCCCTTTAAACAATAAACCCAAATGGAAGTGCATATAAATTCTCTGTTGTTGTTTGCAGGAAATAGCTTCTTTTAAAAAGGAAATTAATTTCACATTTATACTTCAAGGCAGCAGATATATTCTTGCTTACTTATAGCTTTGAAACAATAACACAATTTAGTGATTTTTTTTGCAATTTAATTCCCTTAAGAAGCAAGGTATGTTACAAATGATTTCACCGCACCTCACAAATTTTGAATTGAAAGTTTTCCTGGAAGAGCATCACAAGGTAACCAGACAATAATGCTACAAACACCATCTTATAGGATTATAAAGAAACTCACATAGAGGGATTGATCTCATATACCTTCACCAATTATAGGGTTAAATAGTAAAAAACAAAACAAAACAAAAACAAAGACTGGTGCTCAAATAATTGCAAAATGATCAAATACAGATTAAATTATATTAGGCTCACTGTACTTTTAAATATAGGGAAGTTACTGTCACAAGTTAGAAATATATTTAACAAGAAGATGTTCAGAAAGGTTGGAAACCCTCAGTTAATTGGTAATCAGATTGATTAAAAGTTTCATTTGCTAAGCATTATGATTTATGAATATTTCACAGGAAACAATTGACAGCTACAGCTATCTTCTTTAGCACAGCATACCACCTCTTTCTCTTACTTGGATCCTGTTGTCATCTTTAGCCCCATGTCTTACCATTTTCCTCCTTTCATTGGACATCCCAGCAATACAGTCCCCAATTTCCAGAAAACAGTCTGTTTCACTTTCTCATTCCCTTAGTAATATTTCTTCCTCTGCCTTCAATGCCTCATGTCCACCTTCTTCCTCCCACTGCTTTTGCCTTGCATTTCCTTCAGGACCCAGCACAGTCTTCCACTTAATCTTTCCTTTGCTTGTTGTTTTGCCTTATATATACCACCACTGTTTTATTGTGGGCACTTACCACACTGTATAATATGTATTGATGGCCCTCCTCTCCAACTACATTTTAAATTCCTTAAGGAACACTTCATGAATTATGAATCTTTGCATCCTCATGTGTTCATTTATGCACTCAACAAATATTTATTTTGTGGTACTCTTCAGACACTGTCTGTCCAAAGCCCCTGCCTTCATAGAACTTACTATTTTAGTGGGAACAGTAGATAAGAGACAAACGAGCAAATAAAAATTAATATAGTATCAGGTAGTGGTAAGTGCTATAAAGAAGAATGAAGTGATGTAATGGAATACAGACTGGTTGCTGCAGGATAGTTTTGGAGGATGTTTATTTCAGAAGGTGATCAAGAAAGTGTCTATAGAGAGATGATATTTGAGCAGAGACCTGAATTAAATGAAGGAGTAAAGCCACACAAAGATCTGGGAAGAACATTCCAGGCAGTGGAAATATCAAGTGCAAATGCCTTGGGGTAGGAGAAACCTTGGTCCATGTGTCTACAGAGCACAGAGGAGAGACCTCAAATAGCCAAAACAATCCTGAGAAAGAAGAACAAAGCTGGAGGCATCACACTTCTTGATTTAAAACTATACTTCAATGCTATAGTAAACAAAATAGTATGGTACTGGCACTAAAAACAGACACACAGACCAATGGAATAGAATCAAGAGCCCAGAAATAAACTCATGCATATATAGTTAACATCTATTTGACAAGGGAGCCAAGAATACTCAATGGGGAAAAGGTAGTTTTTTTTTCAATAAATGGTGTTGAGAAACCTGGATATTCACATGCAAAAGAATGAAATTAGACCTCTATCTTACATCACTCACAAAAATTTACTTGAAAAAGATTAAACACTTAAATGTGAGACCTGAAACTGTAAAACTCCTAGAAGAAAATGTAGGGGGAAAGCTCCAATGATTTTTTTTGGATCTGATATGAAAGCTCAAACAACAAAAGCAAAAATAAAGTGGGACTACATCAAACTAAAAAGCTTCTTCACAGCAAAAGAAACAGTCAACACAACGAAGAAGCAACCTATGGAATGCGAGAAAGTATTTGCAAATCATACGTATCAATAAGGGGTTAATATCCAAAATTTATCAGGGACTCATACAACTCAATAGCAAAAAAAAAAATTAATCCAATTAAAAAATAGGCAGAGGGGGCTTCCCTGATGGCGCAGTGGTTGAGAGTCTGCCTGCCGATGCAGGGGACACGGGTTTGTGCCCCGGTCCGGGAAGATCCCACATGCCACGGAGCGGCTGGGCCCATGAGCCATGGCCGCTGAGCCTGCGCTTCCGGAGCCTGCGCTCCGCAACAGAAGAGGCCACAACAGTGAGAGGCCTGCATACCGCAACAAAAAAACAAAATGAAATAAAAAAAAATAGGCAGAGGATTTGAATAGACATTTTTCCAAAGAAGACATACAAATGGCCAATAGACACATGAAAAGATGCTCAACATCATTAGGGAAATGCAAATTAAAACTATAATGAGATATCACCTCATACTTGTTAGAATGGCTATCATCAAAAAGATAAGAGATAACAAGTGTTGGTGAGGATGTGGAGAAAAGGGAACCCTCTGTGCACTGTTGATGGGAATATAAATTGGTATAACCATTACAGAAAACAATATGGAGGTTCCTCAAAAAATTAAAAATAAAATTACCATATGATCCAGCAACTCCACTCCTGAGTATATATCCAAAGGAAATGAAATTACTAGCTCAAAAATATCTGCATTCCCATGTTCATTGCAATATTATTTACAATAGCCAAGACATGGAAACAACCTAAGTGTCCACTAATAGATGAGTGGATAAAGAAAATTGTGATACACACACACAATGGAATGTTATTTAGCCATAATACAGAAGAAAATCCTGCCATTTGTGACACGATGGATGAAACTTGAGGGCACTGTGCTAAGTGAAATAAGTCAGACAGAGAAAGACAAATACTATATTATCTCACGTATATGTTGGATCTATGGAAAGCAGAACTCAAAGAAGCAGAGTGTAGTATGGTAGTTGCCAGGCATTGGGGTGTGAGGGGAAAGGAGAAATGTTGGTCAAAGTATACAAACTTCCAGTTGTAAGATGAATAAATTCTGGAGGTCTGGTGTTCAGCATAGTGACTATAGTTAATGATACTGTATTATGTACTTGAACATTGCTGAGAGAATAAATCTTAATGTTCTTACCACACAAAAAATGTAATTATGTAAGGTGATGGGTGTGTTAGCTAACCTTAGTGTAGTAATCATTTTGCAGTATATAGGTGTATCAAATCATCACATTGTACACCATAAACTCACACAAAGTTTTATGTCAATTATATCTCAATAAAACTGGGGGGAGGAGAAATAATGTTGGTCAGTGAGAAGTGAGAGATTATACAAAAAAATTAGCAGTAAGATATATAAGGCTTACTGATATTGGAAATGAGTGAAAACGACTTTAGGCTTGTACAGGTGGCAAGTAAACAGTTGGATACAGGAATCTAGAGTTTTGGGGAGATGTGAAGACTCGAGATTAATATTTGGGAACCATCAGCATATAGATGGTATTTAAAACTAGGCTACAGGTGGGGAAAATATATGGGTAAGAAAGGGAAGAGGTCTAAGGATGAGCCCAGGAGCAAAAAAGGTCATAAGAAGAAGGAGGTGGGGAAATGCAAGTGACATCAAGAAGCAGGGAGTATTCAGCTGTGTGCAAGGCTTCCAATGTCTGTTGAATTGCATGTCATCCTAGATTTTCTTCTTTTTTTCTCCTATTTTGGAGCTAGTCTGCATTGTTATTTGTGAAACTTTTATCACCTGTTAGTAAAGCAGAAATTTTTAATTAGAAACAGTAAAATTACTATAATGTGATTTGTCAGTGCAAAACTCAAGGCACAATTAGTTTTTCCTCTGAGATAAATGTTCTTGTATACGGGTCCCAGAGGCCCCATCCATGCAGTCACAACAAATTGAAAAGTTAAATAATTCAGTTAATAGTTAAATAGTTCAGTTAATATGATCCATCTGAAGAAATAGTCTGGATGATTAAGGAAATAATGTCTTCTCCCTTAATAACAGGGGATTTTGTTGGTAATTATGCAGACAGTTGCCTCATTTTTAATGTTATATTTGCACATGAAATTATTGCACATTGACCTCTTACAGAGATTTGCTGTCCAAATGCCAAACGGACATGATACACGTAAAACTTTTTTCACCTCCTGGTGTTTCTCTTTGCTTTGGGTTCATAGAGCAATGCATGGCCCTTAGCCATAGTCACAAGCTCTCTTTAGAGAAAACGCTACCCAAGATATTGGGTCCTCTTTTAGATGCTCAGTGAACTAGACTCATTTCATGGATCTCTTAACTCATTCAAATGCTTTTCTACCTGAATAGACTCAGAGAAGAAATATTCACATGTTTCAAATGGTTTCAGGACAAATCAAATTCATTACCAAAGTTGAAAATTAGTCAACACCATCTACCAGAATAGATGTGAATTTGAAAACCCATGAAATCCTTTTGTGACAGGTCAGACTGGAGAGTGCACATCTTATTAAATTCTATTGAATAAAGCAGCCTCTGGTCAATTCACTGGCTGTGTAATTTTCTGATTGCACTCTGATAGAGGCATAATATCTGCCACCTGTAAATGGACCACTATTCCTCCATCTCCAGAAATATCCATGTAATTAAAAATTCTAAATAAATATTATCTCAATGCATAAATTGTAAGCTAACTTAGCTGGATAGAATGACAAGTTGTTACAATTTCATTTTTAAATGAGTATACAGTTTTCAAGTTAGAATTTAAGTTTTTTCTTTAATTTTTGTGCTTTTCATTCTATTGTTTTAATAGAAGTTTTAATAGTGATTTCTTTTTGAGAAGTATAGTGGTATTTAAATGTTCTCCTGGAAAGATTGGGATGAAGCAATACTTCTTGTGTAGAGGGATTAATGGAGTTTTTATATATATTTTTGAAGGCTCTGAAACTTAACTAGTATATGCCACTATGATTCTTAGAGTTCTGTGAGAGATGGGTATTAGTGAAAATAAGTCTTGAGTTTGACCATGAAGCTGTTTCTTCTGGTTGGTGAGGAAGAGACGCTTTGTAATTTTCTGAAATAAATGTGCATTAGAGAGAATCAGGTATCTGTTATTCATAAAATGTTGGTTGTATACCTAGTCACATTGCAGAAAAACTACTGTAGGAGGGGAAAAGCCTATCAATAATGATTATATGAGATCATGTCATTAACTATATGGAATATAGTCATACAGATATATGAGGAATTTATGTGGGATTATATGGACTGGCACTATTCTCAAGTTACATTTTACAATTCAAGACTGTGTTATAGGGACTTCCCTTGTGGTGCAGTGGTTAAGAATCTGCCTGCCAACACAGGGGACACGGATTCGAGCCCTGGTCGGGGAAGATCCCACATGCCGCGGAGCAGCTAAGCCCGTGTGCCACAACTACTGAGCCTGTGCTGTAGAGCCCTCAAGCCACAACTACTGAGCCCACGTGCCACAACTGCTGAAGCCTGTGTGCCTAGAGCCCGTGCTCCGCAACGAAGAGTAGCCCCCGCTCGCTGCAACTAGAGAAAGCCTGCGCGCAGCAACGAAGACCCAACATAGCCAAAAATAAATAAATTTACATATAAAAAAAGACTATGTTATAAAATGAAATGATGGAAGTGTGTCAAAACAACCATAAACACTATAAAAATTAGCCACACAAAAATGTTTATATTTTTATAGCAAAGACTAAATGGAATTTTGAGAGAAAAATTTTAATTCAGTCCCTTAGCCACCTAAATACATCCACTTTATCTTTCCTAGGCTTTGCTAGAGGTGGTTAATGACCTCTTTGAAGAACAGACTGACCTGGAGAAAATTGTCAAGAAAATAATGCATCGGGCCCAAACACTGTTGAAATGTGAACGCTGTTCTGTTTTACTCCTAGAGGACATCGAATCACCAGTAAGTCGTCTTTTATCTGTCATCTGCGTTAATGAAGTAAAGTTTAGTTTAGTTTAGTTGTAATTAAGTTTGTGAAATCGTGACTTGAACCACTCTTTTGTGACTCTTCTAACCATGAGGTGAGGTGACTTTTTATAAAAGTAAAATTTTTTATTTCCTTTACATGTTTTTTCGGTCTTGATCTGCTGTCACCTGAGAAACATAGACCCTTCCACTGATAGGGGACCTTCGACGTCTAGCCTAGCCCTGTGTATACAGATGAGGCAGCTAAGGGTTGGAAGGGTTTGCCCAAACTCACACAGCTGAATAGAAGAGAAGCTTGGGTGTCAGCCTCTCATTGTACCCACCCAGCAAGGGAAGGCCCTCAGCACTGGTGGGCATGGATTGCAATCCACACAGTGCTCCACAGCCCTTTTCTGGGGGTGGGGTGAGGAGAAGCAAACGAACCCTGGGGAAGCAGTGCCCTTTGTGCTTGAGCTAAGTGGAGCGACCCTGAGCTGGGCCGTGCTCTCCAGTAAAGGTCTGTCCTGCTGCTTCCCAGGTGCAGTTTCCAGGTTCTTCCACTGCTGCTCAGACCTGTGGACACTTGCACAGTGTACTCCAGTCAGGCGGCGGAGGCTCCTTTCCCCCTCACGCAGGGGCTACTCTTACTCTAAGGGCGAGCAGCTAGGTCTCAGCCTCAGGCCTGCCACACCTTGGCTCTCAGGGTCTGTTAGACCCTCTGGCTCTTTGTGGGAAATCTGCTGTTTAAATACATAACAATATTGAAAATAATGATCATCATCAGTCTAACTTCTTGAAAGTTAAATGTCTAACCCTCAACAGCAGTTTAATATCTTTGCCGTGACCTCTCGTCAAAGACCAGGAATTGTCTAGCAATTAAGTGCTGTTTTAATACCTCAGAGGATGATATTTTACCATACTTTACTTAAAAAATGTTATCGTCTTTACCTTTAGGTTTGCTTTCCTCAAAGAATGAGAACCTTAGGATAAATTTTGGAAATTTAATCATAAGTATTGTAAAACTTACAACATTAAGCTTTAAAACAATTTTTTTATTGAAATATAGTTGATTTACAATGTTGTGTTAGCTTCAGGTGTACAGCAAAGTGATTCATGTATGTACATATGTATATATATATATATATATATATATATATATATATATATATGTAACTGAAAACATATATATATTCCTTTTTAGATTTTTTCCCGTTATAGGTTATTACAAGATATTGAGTATAGTTCCCTGTGTTATACAGTAGGTCCTTTTTGGTTATCCAACCTTAAATTTAAAAAAAAATCTGTATATGTTTAAAACGTTTAGGAGTATTTCCCTATATCTTAGCAGAGTTTGGCGTTATTTCTACTCAGCAGGTGTGATTTAAGCAAACAATAGCCTTGCAATTATCCTGCGATTGTGTAAAACTCAGTAGAACCTTGGGAGCACACACACACACACACACACACACCAATAGTGCATATTTGTGAAGCGCTTCCAGATGCTTTGTGAAACATCTGGGCTTATTCAATGCTTACTGCATCCTTATGGGATAGGTATTATTATCATCCTCACTTACAGGTGAGGACTTAAGTCTCCGAGAGTCGAGTGACTTACTAGAGTCTTCCCCACCACCTGACTCTGAAACCCCCAAAAGGAGTGGGAAGAGGTGGGGTGTGCTCGGTGGTTCTTTGCCGGCTGTGGGCTCTCCCTGAGCAAAGGCAGGAAGGGGCAGCGGTTGGGGCTTTTCAGCTTCCAAGGTTCCTGAGCCACTCCCAGGTCCCTGTGAGGGCAAGTGGCTGGGGAACCATGTGGAATCTAAGCAAGGACAAGCTCACTGTTTGCTAGTTCAGTTAAAACAGACATGGAACTAATTTAAACCACCTTAGGGTGGTCACTTTTGTAAATCTTCTAACATGGACTAGTTTTTACCCTCCGGTCTTGCTCTCTGGCAAGTCCGATAAAAAAGTGCAGAAGACAGACAATGATATGGAAAGTGCAGGCAGAGCTGGAGAGAATAACAGCGACAGTAATAGCTTCAGGGTATAAAGTAGGGAGGGGGTCAAAAATCACTCCCTAGACTAGATGACTAGATGGTACATGCATAAAGGTGTTGGTGTAGTACTGAAGGTTAAGAAGACCTTTTCACTATCACAGCTGAACATTCTAAGACTGTAATGTCGGGGTCAGGGCAGAAAATCTGGGCCTAGCCTATCATTTCTTCTTTGCCCAGCCCCTCCCCCTCACAGTAAGGAGGAACTCCTTTACTCCAGAGGGGCAAGGTCTGCAGGTAAAAGTGAACTGTGTGCAGAAAGAGGAGACTAATCTGTTTGGTACCATTTGAGAAGCTGTGAAGATTTTTTGCCGAGGTTACTGCCTGGGGAGGTGGGGTGGGAATGGGGGTATAAATGTGGCATCACCATGCAGAAAACCCATCAATGCTCTGTTTTCCTTTAATACGCTTCTCACCAAAGGTTTGTTGAAACTTCAGACTCAAAGGGATAGCTGTTCTGTGCACTACCCTGATTGTCAGGTAGAAATGATAGGAAGGAGAACAGATACAGTCACTCCATGTGTAAGAGGAGAAGCCAACTCAGGGCACTAGATGCCAAAATCTGGTGCTGGCATAGCAAACAGAAAATCATGCCGAGTCAAAGTTCTCTGGCTGGGACTTTGTCCTCCTCACCTCAGAATGCTGAATGGATGGAATGATATTAAAAACCTTTGTCATCTAGATTTAATCAGGGGTTTGAATGATTATTATAGAGGAACCCAAGCAACACCTATAAATGCTACATGATTTTATTTTACTGATTAAGAGCACACTTAGATTCCTATCCCAATATTAGAAAACAAAGATGGAACTTGACAACATGACTTTTAATTTTGAAAAGTTCATATGGAAAAATAAACATATAAAAGTAGCCAGAAAAAAATTTTTAAAGGCAACAAAGATGTAAAATGGATGAGGTTTTGCCTGTGAAGCTGTTAAAATATATTATAAAACTAGAGATTTGTTCCTTATAAGAAACAACTGGACAGAATAGAGTCCAAAGACCCCTATACATGTGAAAAGCTAGTAAAGACCGTTCTCTTTCCTGTAGAGTTTAGAAAATTATTTCTGAGAAACAGAAGTGTGTTGGAGGACTAGAGAGTTTCAGACTTGAAATGACAGTGTTTTGGGTTTGTTTGCTTTTTTACTGCAAGCATTTCAACAATAAAGATGCTTTTGTAATTATAAAGGAATACATATAAGTTCTCAACGTCACTGAGCAAATCTAGAATTCAGTCATGCCTTGCCCTTGTTACTTATGACCTTTCTTTCTTTATTATCGTCAGCAAACCTATCACTCTCCATCCCTCTCTCCACCCCTCCAGTTAGCCTGGTACGTAGTTTCAGGCAAGGGATTGCACTGAATACAGAGACAAAGAACTCCATCCTGGGTTTGTGAGTGCCAAAATGGGCTTTAAAAAGTTATGACAGAGTTACTATTCTCAAAAAACAAGACTCTTTCATTGGCAAGAACCAGGCTTTCTTAGAGACTTGAAGGAACCAGAGCCTAACGTTGTACCCAAAACAGTAGATTGGAAAGAGAATAGATGAAGCCCTAGACTCTCCCATTCATGAGATGCCCGGACTAAAGTGGGAGAGTTAGAGAGAAGAGGAAATGCGGTTTCCCAGCTCTCCTAGCCCTGCCCAGCCTCAAGGCCACTCATAGTGGAGGTAGGGGGGTGGTGGGGATTGAAAGTCCCCCCAGACCCTGCAACAGGGAAGAAAACTGGAGGTGGCAATATGGGAGGAGCCACGGGACAGCCAGAGCCCCACAAAAGCATGAGGGGCAAATGCAGTTTTCCCATTTCCTGATAGAAGGTAACAGGGGGAGGGCTGAGACCTGAAGAAAGAAGCCTAACTGTCAGGACGAGGGAGGCACAGAGGATGTGACCTGGGCCTGGGGAGCTATAGGTGTAGATATTTAAGCACATCCACTGTTAGGGATGACTAGGCTGAAGATCAGTGAGGCTGTCTTGCCTCTTAGAGGCCAGCCTGGGTGAGAGGGTGACTATAGATCAGCTACTTTGCTCCAAAGAAGCCAAAAAGTTGCATGTCATCCTGGTGAAAATTTCAGTATTAAATGAATTGAATTCTGAAACGATTGAGAAAATCTGAAGTGACTGAGTTAACTGGATTGTCTCTTTTGTCTTCTGTCAGCAAGCAGAACTAGGGTTCAAGACGAGATTCAGTTGCTACAGGAAAATAACATAAGTGACGTTTTGTACAGCTATGTCTGTGGCCTTTGAAATTTATAATTAGTATACAAATTGTATTCTCTAGTCAATCATCTTATACTCAGTACACAAATATGACAAAGCAAGCATTTGAAATTAGATTGGTGGGAAGATTGATGGATTGTCCTACAAATGTTTTGGAAACAAATAGCTGGCAACTTAGGAAAAAACAAATTAAAAAAACTGGATTCTTACCTCATACTTGTCAAAATATAATTTTCTATAAGGCAAAATTGTGACTTTCATGTAAATATTTAATAAATACATATCAAAGATTATTTTTAATTCATTAATTTATGAGGGAACAAATAAGATGTTAAAACAAGTCCAAAGAGCATTTGAGAAGTTAGGTATTTATAGGCAATGTTAGGATAAAATTTCTCAGAGACAAAACTTTTTAGAAACAAAGCAAGTCCATAAACTGTAATCTTTAAGGTTATCTTTTCCGTAGGATAGAAATTTTTAATCAGAGAAAAAAACTACAAATTAACATGTAACTTTATTAAGTCTGGAGTCTTTAATAAGTAGTAACCAAGGATGGGACTTAGTACATTTCTTAGGTCGGGGCTGGCAAATTTTTTTTTGTAAGTTTTCAGATAGTATATTTTTTAGGCTTTGCAAGTCACATGATCTCTGTCGTAGCTACTCATGGTAGCATGAAAGCAGTCTTAGTATGGCTATGTTCCAATAAAACATTATTTATAAAAATAGG